ATTGCAGGAGCATTTCTTCATCTTCTGGTTAGGGATTTCATTAATATTAATTTCCAACGACGGAGATGACAGATGAAATTTTCTGTATCTTTTGGACATGCATCCGAGTCGTGCCATGTCTTTCAAATCAAGGAAGGAAAAAATGTGCTGGGCAATTTCATCTGGAAGATTACTCAATCTGTCGATCATTTTACTCTCAATCGCACAAACTCGTTGACCTCGAGAACTTGCTGTAGCCACTAACTTATGCTTATGTTCCATAGCAAGACCTAGTGTGTTTTTGCGTCTTACTTGTACGGAATCGGAATTGGTTTCCAATTTATAGTACAAGAGCCTACAAGGAAAGAGGAATTAAACAAAGCTAAAGCATCAATTATATATATATATATATATATATATTCATTTATACACAAACCCAAAACGTAAGTGAGTTTTATGCAAATCCCTGTTTATTTATGGCCTTTGGATTGAACAAATAAAAGGATAATTGAGGAAATAAATAAATAGGTGTGCGCTAAAGGAAAAAAATGTGTGCATGCAAATCATTTCTACACCAGAGTAGTACTCTTGATACTAGAACTTACCACCTTTAGCTACGCATACTCTAGTAGGGGGATGTGCACTCATTGGATCCTATATTCCTTGGTCTTCCAGATTTTGGATCGAATTGACTGATTCAAAGAAAAGCACAGAGAACCCTAATTTTTTGTTGGTTTAGAGTTCTTGACTCGAGATCGGTGTTTGTATATGTGAGAGAAAAGCATCTGCAATCGATTTATGTCACTCCTCTCCCATAACATGTATTAGCACCTGGTTTCAGTGCCTTCTTATTGTTTCTTGATTTCTTGAAGCGTGGGAAAGAAACGTACCTACAACTGATTTACGTCACCCTCTCATCAAGTGTATTTTCACTGACTTTTTGTGCGTGGTTCTCCATGTTTCTCTTACACTCTGTTTAGATGAGGAAATTTAAGATTACTAATAAATTTTAAAATAATGAAATTTTATTTTTTAGAATTTGTGAATTTTCTTGTTTGGCAATGTAATTTAATATGGTATTTGTTATTTTTAAACTCTCACTCATAGAAATTGAAAAATGATACCTCTTTATGTGGAATTTAAACTTGGGAATTGGAGGTTCCAAATCCCAAGTTTTTTTTTTCCACGCTAAAATTCTAAAATTCTATATTTATGAATCCAAACAAGAAAATTGATGCATGTCAATTTATAAATTCTGACTTTTGTCAAAATTCTAAGTTTAATTCCCTCATTCAAACATAGTGTTACTCTTTTCTCGAAGTGTGGGAGTGAAACTTACTAGCAACCAATTCACGTCACCCCTCTCACATCACGTGTATTTGCACTGCTTTTTATGCGTGTTTCTCTTTGTTTCCTTCACTATTTTCTCGAACTGTGGGAGTGAAACGTACCTAAACCGATTACGCCACCCCTATCTCATCACGAGAATAGACATTTAGTTTTTGTGTGTGGTTCTGATTTCATTTTACTGTTTTCTTGAAGTGTGGGCGTGAAACGTACCTACAACATATTTATGTCATCTCTCTCATCACGTTGTTTTTTATGCATGGTTGTCGTTGTTTCCTTTATTGTTTTCTTGAAGTATGGGGGTGAAACCTAAGAAATGCGTTGAATACTTCGTTACTTTATTCATCATCTAGAGTTTACAATATATAGGCACACATGCCTATTCTACAAGGAAAGTAATCTGCATTACAAGAAAGGTAATCTGCAAAAGATAGGGACACTAAATCTTAATCCTACCAAATATAAGACTCCTATAATCTTTATAGTAAATTCAACACTCCCTCTCAAGTTGGCTCGTAGATATCGCACATGCCCAACTTGATAAGTGAGTCCTGAAACACTTCACTAAATACTCTATGAGTAAGAACATCAGTCAGTTGCTTCTCTGAATTCACAAACAGTATAGACAAAATATTCCCTTGGAGATTCTCCTTAACAAAGTGTTATCAACCTCCACATGCTTTGTTTTATCATGTTGTACCAGATCATCTGTTATTTCTCAAGATTCTAAAAGACGATAGGCACTAGTCGGGCGGCGGGCTGGGGCCTAGCGCCTATACGGCTAGGCGAGGCCTAGGCGAACTAGGTGAATTTAAGTAAATCTATTATATTTCGTGTAAATAAGTGGTTGCTTATACTTAAAATATATATAATTTTATCATAAACTACAAAATAGAAGACATATATATTATGAAGTATTGAAACATAATGAAAACAGGGGGAAAATGATATAATGTGTGTTCATTTAAGTATGAAACAAGTATCTTACAATTTATTAAAAAAAATAAAATGAAAAATTAATGTCATATATTGTCTATCTAATTGAGTCGCGACCTAGGTGGGTCTAGGTGGGTCTAGGCGTGTGCCTCAGCTAGTTTAAGTGTCATTTCTTAATTTTCAAAAGCTTAGGCATTAATCGGGACGGTGGCCAACCGTTTAGCGCCTAGGCGGCGCTAGGTGGGAATTTTTAGAACAGTGTTATTTCCCTTACTGACAAATTGTCCCAATATAACTTCAGAGCTTCCTTTGGTTCGAAACGAATACACATTAAAAGTTTGCATAACTAAAGAAGTTCACATATTCCTTGTGTCATACCTTATACTCAGCCTCGGCAGAAGACTTTGACACCACCTTCTGTTTCTTACTACGCCATGTAACAAGAGACCTCCAACAAACGTAAACTATCCATGTGTACCTGTCAGTAACTTTGCAAGACCAATCTGCATCTGTAAATTCTTCAACTTTTAAGTGACCATGTCTTCCATACAAAATTCCTTTACCAAGTGCATACTTCAGATAGGCCAAGATTCGCACTACAGCATCCATGTGATTGTGTGAGTGCATAAATTGGCTCACAACACGTACAACATGTGCAATATCATGACGAGTATGAGCTAGATAAATTAATCTCCCCACCAATCTTTAATACCTACCTTTATCAACAAGAACCTGATCAGCGTAAGTACCCAAGTAATGACTCTCTACCATAGAAGTATCACCATTTTTACAGCATAACTTATCAGCTTCTTTCAACAAATCCACAACATGTTTCTGCTGAGAGAAGAAACCTTTGGTTGAATAGGCGACCTCAATTCCAAGGAAAGACTTCAACTCTCCCAAATTTTTCTCTCAAATTTGGATGCAAGATTTACCTGTAAATTATGGATTTCTTCTTAATAATGTCAGGTAATAATCATGTCATCCACACAAATAATTAAAGCATCAACTTCCCAAGCCTACACTTCAGGAACAAACTTTGATCAGAATTATTGTGGAGGTACCCATATTTTTTCATTGCTTGAGTAATCTGTCAAACCAAGCAGAGGCGATTGTCGTATTACCCATAAAGAGACTTACACAATCAACACACCAAAGTATTACCACTTACACCATATCTTGGTGAAAAGACCATATACACATACTCTTCCAAGTTCCCATGAAGGAATGCATTCTTCAATCAAGCAGTTTAATAGGCATCAAAACACGTACCCCTTAGCCACTATCATTGCTTTGTACCTATCCATAGATTCATCGGCATTGTACTTGATTATAAACACTCAACGGCACCCAATCGGTTTATTCCCTATTGGTAGCTGCACTATCTCTCAGGTTTTATTGTTCTTGAAAAGCGGACATCTATTCATCCATAGCTTGTATCCACTTAGGGTCTCTTATGACTTCTTTGATCTGAGTGGAACTTTATTTGATTCAATGTGATTTACCAATGCCCTCCGTTATGGTGAACAGTTCTCACATGATATGTAATTAGCAATTGGATACTTCACCTTTCCTTTCAAGGAGAACATGTCAGGTGACAAATTGCAGTTTTGTCTTGCAATATTGGAATTAGTTGTATACTTACCTCTTGGATATTCAAAGGAGATGGAACATGCACTACATGATCAGAGACACCGACTAATAAGGATCAATATCAAACTCTTTCTTGGAAGGTTAAAATACTAATAAGGAACAATATCAAACTCTTTCTTGGAAGGTTAAAATACTTGGTTCACACAAGACCATGTATTGCATATGTTGAAGTGTTTTTAGTCATTTTATGCATGCACCTAGTATTGATCATAGGAATGCTATGGATCGCATATTGAGATCTTTGAAGTCTGCACCGGATAAAGGTCTTATGTTTGCCAAGTATGGACATCTAAATGTTACTAGGTATATACCAATTTTGATTGAGTCAGATGCATCACTGATAGATGTTCTACTTAGGTTATTTCACCTTCGGTAGGGGTTATCTAGTTGGTGAAGTAAGAAACAAAATGTTGTTGCAAGATCAAGTGCTGAAGCTAAGTATCGAAGTATATCACATGGCATTTGTGAGTTATTATGGATTCATAATGTCTCGTTAGATTTGGGAGTTAAACTTGGAATGGCTATGGCACTGCATTTTGATAATAAGGCTGGGACTGATACTGCTCACAATCCGGTTCAACATGATACAACTAAACATGTTGAAGTGGATATTTATTTTATCCAAGTAAAATTGGAAAAAAGATTGATCTGATACCTTTGTAAAATCTGAAGATCAATTGCCATATGTTCTCACTGAAGCTGTCTCAAGTCGAGTGTTTCATATAGTTCACTTAGAAAGTTGGGCATGAGTGATATCCATTCACCAACTTGAGGGACGTGTTGGAGTGACTAAACCTAGTGTACTCTAGTTCTGCACACTTCTATGGTGTATAGAGGCGGACTCCTATAGTGTAGTGGGGAAGCTTCGTGTAATTAATTTCTTAGGTTGTATAGTACACCAGTATGTTCATATAATCCTCCTTACCGAGAAGGCATGTAATCAGAATATTCATACATATTCTACCAAATGCTCACTATCCTATTAATTATCGTCAGATTAGGGTAAATTTCAAGATTTGTGTAAGAGATAAATTAAGTCAAACTCATCTAACGGTAATCAATTAATTGGGTAGTGACATTATCACTTTATGCGTTGAACAAAAATATTTCTAACAAGAAGAGCTATTGTACAGTGTATACCAAAATAAAGGCCGCTACAGCAACCACAAAAGCTAGGAAAGCAAAAATAAAAAAACTATATGCCTCGTGTAAGGAATTTATAGCTCAGTTTGTTAAGATCATCACCATAATTCCCCACACCCACCACAATATCACTTTGTATCAAAGGAAAACTAAACCTTCATATTTTAACATATTGCATTTGCATATTAAAGCTGGTGCTCTTGTTGGCTCTCCGGGAAAGAGTAGACAAAAAACCTCTTAACAAGCAGCCTTCTTCCTCTTTGCTTCATCTCCCTCTTGTTAGATCTTTCTGAAAGACAATTGTGGCATTGGAGATCCTCTTGCTTTTCTTTAATGTTCTTCGCACATGCGATTGTTGGGGTGAATGAACAATCACCATTTTCCTCAAGTTCTGAGCATGCTCTAGTATATACTTCGATAACTCGATTCCATTAGACCCACTGGGAAGTTCTATAGTCACCTCCTCAAGTTTAGAAACACAAGTAGGGTTTTCTAATTTCCAACGCTCTATATCAAACCCGGAGGACTGGAAAGGCAATGAACAACAGGCAGATTAATTGAGAATTTCTCTGAAACTGATATAACGAATGGAAAACTAATTCATTCTTTAACCATGATCAACAAGACCAGATTCCAGACAAGTCAAATGGAGAGGTGTATGGAGAGATACGCAGAACCTTGACTACTTACTTCAGTTTTCGAATGGAGGAAGATTCTGTCAGTATATATGTGCAAGGTGCTCAAATTTGGCATTGTTTTAAACAGACAGATCATTGCCAGGACTAGGTCATCAAGCAAGCTCCCAATATCAATACGTAAATAACGAACATTATCTAAAGGTCTTGGCATAGAACCTTCCTTGGTACAAGGAAAAACCTAAATGACAAAAAAGGAAGAGAACCTGTAAGAACAGTAATGAAAACTATATGCGATGGAATACCAAAACTGAGTGATGGAAATCATAAGTTGGCCAAAAGATAAACGCACCAAAACAGTGACAAAAATTGTATGCAATGGATTGAATAATCACCAATACAACATATGCAAGGTATTATCTTTAGACTGACTAGCAGTATTCAGAGAAATACGAATTTTCAATCTGGCTTATGTGATTAGTAACGCAAAAGCAATTACATCTTTCAATTGTCAACCAATTCCGATAAATTAATCTTTTTTTTCGAACGAGGAAAGATTACAATCGAATAATAGTGGATTGCAAAGTATCAAGTTTTCACGAAACAGAGAGACACAACGCAAATAGATCAATTCAGTTTTACTATAGTATCTCTTTACCTTGAGGCTCTCTGCATTTAGAATAAGAACTTTGACCCTGCATATACTGCAGAGAAACTCGGACACAATGCCAAAGTCATATGCTCCATTCTTCAGGAAAAAAAGGTCGGCTTTCTCTAAACGAATGAATTCCCCCAGATTTTGGTGGATCAACAATCTCCCTATCCATTTCATACTCGTAAGATTTGGTGCAAGAATATTTATCGATTTTCTGTGTGGAATAGATTTAATGTCAATAACTAGGTCTACAAGTTTCTCAGCTGCAATGCTAAGTTGGCACTGCTCCGTCAGAGAGTGATTGACAAAACTAAAGGATAACAAAGACGAGCTTACGATGGTAATATTTTGTACCCCAGACACTTGTTCGAGACATAATTCCTTAATGCAATTGCAGTAACATGAAAACCACTTGAAAAACCCCTCGTCTGCGATTTTAACATTTCTCAACTTCAAGCATTCAAGATTAGAGAAAGAAGTTGAGGAGGGCTCTTTAAAGACCATAAGCTTCATGTCCACCATTAGAGACCTCAAAGATCGACAAAGAAAGACGCAAGATGGAAATGGAGTCAGTGCCATCCTAAATGAACCACACTCAAGATCAAGTACTTCAACATTACACTTAACCGCATTGTGGATCCACGTAATCACTCGAAATTTCTCCTCTTCATAGGAAAATTCCTTCACCAAAAAGTATTCAATATCCCAAACCAAACGAAACTGTTGTAACTTTTCATCCCCACGACGAACCAAGAACCTATCCAAAGAACTCAACAACATTAACCGCTTACTGGACGTTGACAGATCCCTATGACAAAGTTCATCAAAATTCAACGACGGAGTTGACAGACAGAGTTCTTTGCATCTTTTGGATGCACTGCCAAAACAGGCTAGGTCTCTTATACTGAGGAAAGAGAGAATGTGATGAACAACTTCGTCCGAAAGATCGTTAAATCTGTCAACCCTAAGCCACTGCCTCCCATCCATCTTTTTCTATCTTTTTCTTCAGTATGATGCCAACTCGAACCCTAAACCCTAAACTACACGTTCTATCAGAAACCGCGAACAGAAACGAAGCCCACTTACGTCTTTCTTCTATTCCCACTTTCTAATCAAACTTCCTCTTCACACAAACCCTCTTCACAATCGATCATTCCTGGCACGACGGGATAGCAAAACAAAAGATCGATTTTTCTGAACCAAAATAAAGAAAAGTAGTAATAGTAGTCTTGATATTAAAACGTACCATTCACGCAACCCAAGAAAATTCGAGCATACCCTCCTCTTCCTGGCCAAACAAAGAACCCTAATTTTTGTTAATTCGGGGTATGACCAAAAACATCAGTGCGATTGTTTACGAAAGAAAAAACACAAAAATTTGTTAATTTGGGGATATTCTAAGGGTTTCAATTGGGTCACGTTTGAACCAAAAACAAATTGCCCTTGGGCCAACCCTCAAAGTCTCTCAACTTTTTCGGACCAAACCACAAGTACCGCAGGTCCAACACCAATCATGTCTATGTACCGTGTGCAAGTACGATTCCTCAAAAAAAAAAAAAGAACAAAAAAAAAAAAAAAACAATGGACACTGATAATTATAACAGCTGAAACATTTAATTGGAATCATTGATTTTATTTGGTGCATTGATCCATAAATTGCGGGTGCCAAAAGATCCAAAACCTAAAATGAAATGATGACTAAGGATCCGTTTGATAACCATGTTATAACCAAGACCAATCGGAGCCAAACAAATCGGGAGAGCTTGACAATGTCCACTTCTTACAAATAGATATACAATAGACAATAGAGCAATTGCAAATAGTTTTCTGATAAATTATTCTAACGCCCTTAGGAGGTATCAACTCTCCTTGACAAGAGCATTTAACCAGCTAATCACGTGATTAATTACATATGTGATATGATACATGGATACAATGTAAACCAGAGGAATTTTCTTTTAGTCTGGAGGTCAGGGAGGGGTTATGTGGCTTTAAGCACGAAAACGTTGATTGGAACTGATAACCTGTACTACACAATTGGAAACATAATTTTCAGGCTACTATCATCCAGCTAGATGAAAAAGACAGTGGATCAAAGATCATCTTTGGTACTAAAACCATAACAGAAGTAACAGAATAAGAAAGCCATGAATTTCAAGAAAAACGGAATTTTTCCATTTAACTTTTGAGAAACAAAAGCAATTACCATATCAATCGCCGTCACTTGTGTGGAAGAGAGGGAGAGAGAGCAACACATTATGCATTGAAGAATAATATCGATCGGATATAACTGATCTGTGTGACAACATTTTAACTTAAACAAAATAATTCCGTTGTAACAGCCATGCTTGCCTGAAAATGTTTCTGAGTTTCGACCCATCTTCCATGAAGCCATGTTTGCCTATACCTTTTCTCTTGCTTTGTCTCACGAGGTAGATGTCCTGCAGAATGTGTTTTTCTGAGATTATCTTTGAGTTTGAAGTACCCAGGACCCAAAGTACCTCATCACCCTTAGCAGGTTGGGATAGAAATGCTCAGGGACTTCATGGAAAACTACTGCTGATTTATCATTCCCTTCTTCCCGTAGCATCAGAATAGATGTGACCATAGGGCAAAAGACCGTCATATATTCATAATCCATTGGATACTGCTACCAAGTGTTCATTTAAACTACTTAAAACTCCATACAGTTCCTTTCTTTGCTCATGCCTTGTATCATAGGCTAGAAACTCATGGATCTTGTTACCCAATTGGATTGAGCTACAACCAGGAACTTTCTCTATTCCCTGCTGTCTCATTGCTAACCGATAGGTCAGCACATCTTTCCATTGTCCAATTGATGCACTCAAATTTGATATTAGAGTTAAATAGCTGGGGTTTGCAGGCTCCTGCTCCATAATCCGTCTGGTTAGAGACTCTAACAGATCTCCATTTCCATGAATCTTACAGGAACCGAGTAGACTTCCCCAAATGACCGCATTTGGCTTCAAATGCATGCTTTCTAAGAACCTGACTGCTTCTTCCAACTTCCCGGCCCGACCTAGAAGATCAACCATGCAACCATAGTGCTCTATTCGGGGTTTGATATTCAACTCTTGTTCCATCTGGTTAAATATTCTTTTGCCCTCTTCCACCAACCCTCCATGAGTGCAAGCTGACAGAACAGCAATGAAAATGACATCATCTGGTTTTGTTCCTTCTAAACACATAGTATCGAAGAGAAATATGGCTTCTCTACACAACCCATTAATAGCAAGACCTGAAACCATTGTTGTCCATGTAATTATACATCTTTTAGCCATCTTTTTAAAAACTGCTTTTGCACTTTCTACATCTCCACACTTTGCAAACATGTCTATTAGTGCATTGCCCAAGGGGATAGACAAATCCAACATGTTTCTCTCAATATAGGATTCAATCCATTTTCCATGTTCTAGAGAGCCCAAGTGAGTGCATGCAGATAGTATGCTGATCAAAGTACTCTGATCCGGGCTGCACTTTCCGTCTATCAACATCTGGCGGAACACAAAAAGTGCTTGATCAAACATGTGGTTATGAACATAACCTGCAATCATAGCATTCCATGACACAACATTTTTAAATGGCATCTTATTGAATAAGTTCATCGCTGATTCAAGATCTCCAATAGCCGTGTACCCTGATATCATGGCCGTCCAAGAAACTACTGTTTTCTGGGGCATCTGTTCAAATATACACTGTGCAGACTTGACATCACCCAACCGAATATACGCAGTTATCAATGAATTCCACGAAACTTCATTTCTTTCTGGCATCCTCTCAAAAACTGAATGAGCTAATTCCATATTTCCAGCTTTGGAAAGACCAGAAACAACAGAGTTCCACGTCACAATGCTCCTCTCTTGCATTGAATGAAACAACCGCATAGCAGGTTCTATCTCACCACATGCCATGTAAGCAGCAATCATAGTATTCCATGAAATCACATCTCTTTCAGGCATTTCACCAAACACGTGGGAAGCCAAATCCAACCCCACTCCGCATTTAGCATAGAAATCCAAAAGGGTATTCTGAACAAACACACTAGAGCCAAAACCCATTTTGACAATGTCAGCATGAACCGTTGTGCCATCTTCAAGGGCCGCAAAAGATTCACAGCCCCTAAGAAGAGAAGTGAAAGTGAAACTGTTTGGCGCAATCCTAGACGCCTTCATTTGATTATACACTCGCAACACATCCATACGATTCTTTCCTATACAGCATTTTATCAATGTATTGTACGCGACAACATTGGGACAACAAGAACTTTGAAAAATAGAATAGGCATAATGAAGAGAACCCAGTTCTGAGGAGAGAGTGAGGAGCTTGGGAAGCAAAAAGCTAGTATGTTGGAGTCCATGGACAAAAATCTGAAGATGGGTTTGTTTCAGTTCTTTGAGAGACTTGCAGTCTTGCATGATCTTCAGCAGTCTGTGGTCCATTGTGATCGTTCTTCATTCAAAAGACAATTACTCTTCTTACGCAAGCGGGGAAATCAAGAGGGAACATATTTGGTAAAATCTTCCGCTATTGTATGGTCAAGCCTTCCTCTTTTGGAGCCACAGGCTTCACCCAAAAAAAAAAAAAAAAAAACAAAAATTTATCCCAGATTTCTGTTTCTTTCTATCAATGATGCTTGGCCGACACCTTACCTGGTGCTCAAAAACTTTCTTAACGTCTTTCTCAGCTAGCAAGCTCTTGGGTGCACCAACCCCGTATGCAATCACGATCCCGCGAGCTTCAGCATCATCTGCCAAGGGAAATTGAGGATCAAGTGTTGTGTATTATGGCAAAGTTACGGCGCAAGTAAGAAGTCACATTATAAAATAGTATCAAGCTGCTCCAGAGAAGTTGCAAAAAAAAGGGAATTACGTACTAACACCAACATTACTATGAAAGTAAAACACGGAAGTTCTAGTGATTACCTGAAGCGGCGCAACAGTAGTGACGCGAAACCGTCGTTCCGGCATTTATTCAAACACTTGGTAGGCACTCAGAAACTGACGAAAGAAGGAGCTCAAGACTGTAGGAGAGCAAGTGGGTATCGGTGAAAAGAGCTTGTTGTTCGAATTTCTGAATTCCTCTGCTTTCCTCTTGTACCAGAAATTAAATTCCACTGTATCTGTGTGGATGGTTCAAGTTGAAGACTTTGTATAGCAGACTTTCTTCTGAGCTCCGCGCCTTTAAATTGGGAAAAATTAACGAAAAATTTAAAAAAAAAAATTAGTTTTAATGAAAAAATATAAATAAAGATGTAATGAATAGTATCATAAAAAAAATGTAATTTTTCATTAAAATTGAACAGTAAGTATTTATGTTAAAACTCCCCTCAAATTGTCTTATATTTTTTATTCCTTCTTTTTGTTTTACAATAATAACCGTTCTTAATATTTGTAGAAAACTTAATATAAAATTTGCTCATCGGTAAAAAAAAAAAAAAAGCGTGTGAACATAGTTTTGTACATTAAATGTAGGAAATTCATTTTTTTTCCAGCAAATTGCATAATTATACTTGTGTAAGAAAGTGTTTCAAGCACACTAAAAATCTCTCTATTTGGTGAGTTGATGTAATATGAGTTCAAGTTCGTTGTTTGAATGTGTTAAATTGTTTTAAATGTTCTCACCTAGCATCGACTAGACCCCGTCTAAGTGTTAGGCGATTGGCCAGTAACACGGTTACTCTTTAGAGGTTTAAAAAATAAGAAAATACGACTAGACCTGACATGTGAATAACAAGAATATGTGTTATATTTTTCTTTTCCACATGATCTTGCATTATTATCATTGTAGACTTTACGTGTACATATTTTCTATATTTTACTTCGCTTGATACATTGAAACATGATTAAAGAGACAATGATTTGCTAATGACATCATCACGTTACAAGCAGACTTTATGTATTTGTATGTATATATTATTCATCATTTATTTGGATTAATGTATCAAAACACACACACCAAATTTGATTACGGTAACTTAAAAAAAAAAAAAAAAAAAGTGACATACACCGTGCAATTAAATATTAACACATCATTTTCGCGTAAACATTTGTCAAACATATTTAAAAGATTTTTAAGGACGCTTCCTATAAATAAAGAGAATTTCACACGCAGAAAGGCAAAAAGGCTATTTGATAATAATGCATCAACATATATGTATGTATAATCGAGAAGTGATTAATTATTTATTCATATATCATCTTATTTTTTTTCTTAATTTCCCCAGGAGGTCTCACAATCAAATTTACTAAAAGTTCCGCACTCCCCATGTCTCCAATCATCGGGTCCACATCTAGGGTTATTACAATCTAATAGGCACGAACACACCAACCACGAGCACCGCCCGGTGACGTAACCACCACCCCCTCGCCGGTCTCCGTGCATTCTACTGCATTTTTCTCTGCACAAGCGGTTGTCATTTTTGGTGTAACAAAGACTCCAGAAAGGATGGGGACCTATACCCGTATGACACTTATCACATAATCTTCCTGCCACCCTATTTGCTGCACTCAAAATTAACCAAAAGAAATTATCAGCATTAACAATTTTAAAGACATCAAACTCATCGTACACGTATATTATGTGAAGGCTGGCGAGATTAGAATTTGAGACCTCCTCGTACCAAGTAGGAGCCAAATTTTATTAAATATCATGCATGAAAAAGAACACAAAAAAATAAAATTTATTGATTTGTACGATGGAGTGAGATTTACAAAGATGTCCCATATGTAACGTTGTTTTCAATTGAAACTCCTTTAAATGGTGAAGGGACTTCTTTTTTTCATTGTTGTAAAAGTTCTTTTCTTTTCTATATTTTATCTTCACTAGCCTATAGAAACACAAAATTAAAAAAACTTTGAAGTGAGATAGACTTACGCGAAGTTGAGAAAAGCAACAATAAAAACACGAATCCAAAGAGTCTTGTATTCATGGTTACGTGACTATTTGGCTTCATGTTTTTACCTTCGATCCTTGGCTAGCTAGCTCTACATGCTTCTACTCTTTTCCCCACTTTTTAAAGTAATTCTCCTCTTCAAGTGGAAGAAGTGCGTTAAATTTAAGTGATTATGGCAAAGTGCGTTAAATTTAAGTGATTATGGCAAAAAAAAGAGAAACATAATAACCACAGTTAATTTAATGCAAACCCTAATTAAAGTAAATTAACTAGCGCATGACTAACTGTAACAACTTAATTGTTATATGAAATATAAACTCAATGATAAATTACTCTCCTAGTAAAAAATAAATAAATTAAAAAAAAATTCAGTTTCCAAAATTTTTGCTATTAAGTTGTTAATGGTGAAAAACAAGTGCACTCGTCATTGTGACATCCCACATCGGTCAGGGGAGTGATCCTTATATGTATATTCCCATCCCTACCTAGCATGAGGCCTTTCGGGAGCTCACTGGCTTCGGGTTCCATAGGAACTCCGAAGTTAAGCGAGAAGGGGGCTAGAGCAATCCCATGATAGGTGACCCACTGGGAAGTTGCTCGTGAGTTCTCAAAAACGAAACCGTGAGGGAATGGTAAGCCCAAAGCGGACAATATCGTGCTACAGTGGTGGAGCAGACCCGGGATGTGGCATGCCCCGGGTCGGGATGTGACAATTTGGTATCAGAGCCTAACCCTGGTCGTGGTGTGCCGACGAGGACGTCGGGCCCCTAAGGAGGGTGGATTATGACATCCCACATCGGCCAAGGGAGTGATCCTTATATGTATATTCCCATCCCTACCTAGCATGAGGCCTTTTGGGAGCTCACTGGCTTCGGGTTCCATGGGAACTCCGAAGTTAAGAGAGAAGGAGACTAGAGCAATCCCATGATGGGTGACCCACTGGGAAGTTTCTCGTGAGTTCTCAAAAACAAAACCGTGAAGGAATGGTAAGCCCAAAGCGGACAATATCGTGCTACGGTGGTGGAGCGGGCCCGGGATGTGGTATGCCCCGGGTCGGGATGTGACAGTCCTTCCCCGTCACCACCCAAATCCAGCGCATCCACCCTAATGCCAAGTGCACTACCAAAAATTACTATTTGTCTGACAAATGTTTGCTCGACGAATCAAATTTTGTTTGGAAAAGTAACTTTATCCGACGGAAGAAATTAGTCAAACAACATTGGTCAACGTTTAGGGTTTGTTCAAAGTCTTTAGGCGAGGAAACCATTTCGACGGGAAAAATAAATTTTGTCAAACAAAGTTTTGGCATTGAGGAAAAAATTGGAGCGTATTATGTCACCTATTTCTCAATGAAAATTCAGTTTGTCGACTTATGTGATATTGGCCGACACAACATTTCATCGGCTAAACTATAAGGTTCATCGGACAAAGTGCAATGATGATCTACCAAGGAACCTACTAACACTTTATCTGCTCAACGATGTTTTTGACGTTGTCTGACAAACCATTTCGTCAGGCAACACCCTGTTCATACAAACAGGCCAAGCGACCTTCTCTTTCTCTTCTCCTTTCTTTCTTTCTTTCTTTCTTTCTTTCTTTCCCCCAGTGTAGCTATCCTCTGTCCTTTGCAAAAATATTCTCTCTCTCTCTCTCTCTCTCTCTCTCTCTCTCTCTCTCTTATTTGCTCAACGTTGTTTTTGACGTTGTCTGACATACCATTTCTTCAAGCATGTTCATACAAATAGGCTCGACACCCTTCTCTTCTCCTCTCCTTTCTTTCTTTCTTTCGTTATTTCTTTCTTTCTTTCTTTCCTTCCTCAATGCTGCTCTCCTCTGCCCTTTGCAAAAACCTCCCTCCCTCCCCCCTCTCCCAATTAATTTGTTTTTTTATTTGTTAAATATTTTTAAAAAGTGTAATCAATTACCTCATCACCTATCTCTCACTCTCCCTCTCCCAGTTAATTTGTTTTTTTTTTATTTGTTAAATATTTTTTAAATTATGTAATTAATTAATTTTGTTTGTTGTAAGTTTGTGAATGAATTAGAATAAATTAACGAAAAATGTATGTATTTATTTCTTAATTTAATTTTTTAGTAAAATTATTTATTTAATTGTGATATATATATATATATATATATTTTGAGATTGTGAGTTATGTGAAATTTTGAATTTGTGTGTTATTGAAAGTTTGAAACAAATGTAGCTTAGGTAAATTTAATTTGTGCAACATTATCTTAGGAAATCTCGGTGTGAAATTTTGAGTTTGTGTGTTATTAAAACATACGATCAATGCAAGCTACTTTAGAGAAGTTGCAAAAAAACATTGAATATTAGGCGCTAGCTAGGGGGCGAGCAAGGGCCTCCTAGCGCCTAGGCGTCTTGTGGGGCCTATGTAGGGACCTAGGTAGACGGGTGCCGGCGGGCTAAATGGTCACCTAGGTAGGCCTAGGAGCCTGTTTATTTTTTAAACCCCTAGAAATTAATCGTGACTATAACCAACCACCTAGTGCTTTGGCAGGGTAACGGCGCTTGTTGAACACTTGATGCACTTACATGAATTTTTTTTTTTTTTAACAAACGATATTATCTATACTAAGGAGGAGAGAATGGGCTTAGCCTCACAATGAGCTAGCAATAAGTGGTTTAAACTCGCCTTTGGTGAGAATCAAACCTAAGACACCTCTCACTTACAAGTGAAGAAGAATACCACTAGACTCTACTAAGTGGCTGAATTTTGTTATTTATTTATGATTTTCCATAAGCATATTCAAGATGTAAATTCTTGAAGCACTTGCATGAACTTGGGATGTGACATCCCGTCCCGAAACTATCGAACCGTACGTGTGAAATGACCATTTTACCCCTAGTTTGTTCTATTAGGTTTTTGGTGTTTAGTGTGGTGTGGACAGGTGTGGGGGTCACACACACACACATTCACACTTGCTATCTCTCTCTCCCTCTGACTTTCCTCTCTCTCTCTCTCCCCCGAGCTCCATTTCTCCTCCTTCCCTTTGAAAACGTACGGACAAACCCACAACCCACACAATCCTAACAGATCGTGGAAACCAGCTACACCATTCAACTCGTAAGGTCGAGGCGAGCTCAACCATACCATTTTCAGGTGAGGAATACTTCGTTTTCACGTCGATTCAACAATGGCCGAATTGAGTACTGTTCATGCAAGTTTTATACATTGAGTTTTTGGACTTTTGAAGCTTGTAGAGGTGTTGGTGAGGTTCCCAGGAGCGTCGGAGTAGCTCGTTGGACGAATTTGGACGTCGGGAAGGCCTGGTTCGAGGTTAGCCGAGCTTGGA